CCCTGACCCCGGGCCGGCCCCTCACGCAAAAAGCTCGGAAATGTCCGCCACTCCAAGACATCGACCACGGTCACAGTTTCCACGTGAAAGGACGTGTCTATGACGAACTTCCGGACACGGGTCGCCCATGCCTCAACACACCCGACTCCTCGTGTCATTTCCGTTGTGATGTCGGCTTCCGGTTGGATGGACACCCTGGCCTCGTGTGCTTCCCGAACGGTTCCTGGGTCGGATCTGTGCCGCAGTGCCAAGGTGAAGAACATCGATCAGATACTTCTGTTATTGTCGGTGGCGGTGGCTGATGTTGTTGTTGTTGCTGTGTTGTTGATCTTGTCGTTGTAGTTGTTGTTGCTGTTTTATTAGTTTAAAAAAAGAAGAAGAAAAAAAAGAAAGAAACATATAGCAACGTTAATGGTTATTGAGTGCAGAAAAAAAAAGCAAGACCGATTGATGGACAATCATAAATGGGTAAATTTTTTAACAGATCATCGGATGAGTGAGAGATTTTTTGAATAGACAGACATACTTAATAATGTAATGTTTTTAAAGCATTTTGTTCTTTCTATTACTAACTGATTCCTTCCACCAGTCTCGATTCACGACTCGTCTCCATGACGTCGTGAATACCTGGGTCTCTGGAAGGCTCTCTGTTGTTGCCAGCATTAGGCGTATATTTGATTCCCAAGTGGGAAAGTGTTTTATAAAGGTGGGTCATCGCGATTGAATCAGGCGCTCATCAGATTAAATTTAAGGAACGGAGAAATCAAGTGGTTTTTTTAAAAAACTATTGGGGGTTTTTTTCAACTCAGAAACCTTCTCCATCTATAAAAGAACACTCTAGTGGGAATTTTACGGTGGCAAAAAAAGTTATTTTATGACAAAACTATGTTATTTTGTAGAATGAGCATAAGACTCAACTTTTAAAGTCACCAAACTTTGGTGGCCATTTTCTCATTAAATGCACCTGTAACAGCAAGTCAGCCCTTCCTTCTTGTCTTCTTAGTTAAACCATGCATATCTCAACTTCTATGAAAGAAGCATCATTTTTTTCTACAAATTCAAGAGAAATATACTAGCTTTAATTTGATAGCAGTAACTCCATCTGCCCAAAAATAAAATTGACGAGCTTCTGATTCCACCACGCTGCGACACTCTGTTGTCTGGTGGGATGCTGTGTCCCATTCAGCCCGGGTTGACCCTGACAGGCAGGTTTAATGTAGCCGGCCTTTTGCATTATCTCAGTTGTCATGATGTGGGCATAATACATTTACAGTATCATAAGTGACGTGTATTAACAAAACAAGTTACTTCTCGTAATCCGCGAATGGAGATATCAGCCAGAAATCAACACGGGGTCAGATTGTAGACTTTTTAAACTGATACCCCTTTCTTCAAGTTTATCATGTCAGTAAAATCTCAGGTATCTATATCCATTGGGTTAAAATTAAGAAAGTAACTCGTTTTGTTAGCACGCCTCACATATTTATATTGTTATAATATAACAATTATTATATCTCTAGTTGAATCGTTATGTCATCTCAGCCTGCCCTTGAGTCGTTTTCAAAGGGGCGAGTCCCCTTCTTGGTGCATCTAAATTAGTGTTGATGGGGATATAAAACACTGTAATTATAATTTTAAAAACTGTTGCAGTTGTCGACTGTGGTCAGCTGGAGTATCACAACCAGTTTTCCAGCCGAGGACGTGTCGAGTATCTAAACGACAGCACGACCTACGAGTCTCAAGTTGAGGTTGTCTGCCTGACTGGCTGGCGTCTGTTCGGAGACAGTCGTCGAACGTGCGCGTCCACGGGACTCTGGTCCGGCACTCAAGCCTGGTGTGTGGGTACGTAATAGGTCAAGGTCGTTACGAATTGAGTATCGTACATGTAGGTACTTTAAATGCTTTCCTTTTTCTGTTCTCCCATGCCACAAGGTGTCGAGGGGATATCCAATTGTTGGATGAGGGCCAAGTGTGTTGGGTGCTCTTTGATTCCATCGATCCATATTTTTCTTGGTCTTCCTTCTGTCTTGAAGTCATCGAGTCGCATGTTGGAAGCCTTTGACTTTGAGGCTGGCTGCTGTGGTCCCATTCTCATAACATGTCCAAACCACCTTATTTGTTGGCTCTCGATGTATTTCACCCCTCGTTTCGACCCCCACGTGTTGTCTGATGTTTTGGTGGGGGGGGGTTGTTGTCTTTCACGTTTTTCTAAGACATTTCATTTGCATGCTGTAATATGCAGTAGGTATCAGGGGCAAAAATGAAGTTATTGTTTCCATTTTAGACTACTTGACTTGGTTTGCAACATCCAGGGTCTCGGAAAGGGTTTCAGCGGGAATGGTGCTTTGATTTTCAATAACAGGAGCCAGCGAGCTGTGAATTTCGTAGTGCAGGAAAACATGGGAGTACCATTTTACACACCGGTGTCGGGTAATTAAAATAAAAAAAATCACGTACGCTTTTAAAGGATTCTGAAACTCTACTGGGGTCAAAATTGGCATTCTGCTTGTTGGTTTTGTTATGAAATGTAATTGTTATAGAATTACGTTCTTGCTCTTTTTAAGTCACCAAAATTGTACTACCACGTGAAAAAAAACCCTTCATATGGATCGATTTCATAGAGTTTATAGAGGTTGGTTGCATGTACATTTGATTATCTTCAGACTTTTGGTGAGCATGTAACACCAACCTCCTTCAAGATATGAAAATATGAATTTGTTGCAGTCTCTCCAAATTAGAAAAAAATAAATTTTTGAATGTTTGGAAGCTGCACATACACAAATAAGAAGTTCTCTCAGCCAGATATATTTGACGTGCTTCTGGGGGCTTTAGTGTACACTGGGAATGAGCTGTAAAAACAATTCGAGAGAGTTGGCTTTAGTGAACTAAATAGTTTCCGTAGCTGAGAAAGACATTTACAATCACTTCGAGCTTGGCCATAAGAAAGATACGTAACCTATTCTCAAAATAGTGTCACCCGCGTCGATGACCAGAAACGTTGTTTGGGAGTTTGAATTGATTCTTCTAGCTAACAGTGTTGTGTTTTAGGTATTTGGGTATCATCATCGTCAACATTTCTCGCCCCCTGCCGGAGTATAGGCGTGTGTGTTTGGTGGGTGCTCTGGTGTGGTTTGCTCTTCTTTCCTATTAAAAAGTCTATCTTCTCTATCTCCCCTCCTTCTTTTTTTGTGTTTGTTACTCTCTTGAAACACTTCTAATCTTCGACACCTACCTATATGACCGTATTGTGTTGCAAGTGCCGTAAAACTCCTACTAAAAAAAGGAGTACAGGCCACCAACAAGAGCTCTCCATGTACTTTTGTTCTGAGCTGTAGTCTCCACCCTTGACCAGCTATATCCCATCTACTTTGGGTCGGAATCTCAGTCCTCCTCTAAGTACTTTCAGACCTCCCCTCTTTTTCTTTTGCTGTGGGTTCCATCTTACTTAAAAATTGGTGGGTAATGTTTGTTGTTGTGTTGTTGTTTTTTCTCAAAGTATGTTTAATCAGATTTCTACATCTACTTTCCGTTGGTTGATTTGTTTGTGCAATATGATATACATAATTTGTCAACCAAATTTCCTCAAAATATTTTGAAATACTTTTTTTTACTAGATCTCTTTTGTTGTAGAAGATGATTTAGAGTTGTGTTTACTCCACTTGTAACCCGCATATCAAATTGTAAACCAGTTGGCTTTGTGAAAAAATGTCTTTGTAAAATGTACTTGGCTCTCATTCATTCATTTTTTTTAGTCATTCATTGTACCATCATTCACTCATGCATTCATTCATAACCATGTACTTATTTTATAAATCAACCCATCACTTCCTTATTTTACTATTAGTATATAATCAATTCCTCCATTCTCGAGTCCATCCGTTTATTCTTTCTTTTTTCAAGATAGTTATTCTATTCATGCGTTTCTATAATAATTATCATAATATTTTCTGACTATTACACAGAGACTCTTTGCCCTGCTCTTCATGTCTCGCCTGGGCTCACCATTTCTCCGAGCACGTGCAGTCACTCCCGCCAGACGCCTGGGTCACTCTGTGAGATGAGCTGTGGGACTGGCTACCGTCAGGATGGGCCAGCCTCCGTGCGATGCCTGGACACTGGGCAGTGGTCACCGCCCACGCCCGGAATTTGCACTGGTCTGTTACATTTATGTAGGAGAGGTGCAACTGAAAGAGTAGGCACATTGCGATAAGCCTTATTTGAATTCATCTTCTATGACTACATAGGGATCTAACTAACAGGCTATGTTGCCAGAGAAGTTCTTAGGGGAAGTTTGTGGGGTTTTGTTGTTGTTGTTGTTGTTTTATTTGTTTATTTTGTTGTTGTTGTTGTTTGTTGATGTTGTTTTGGGTTGTTGTTTGTTTTGTTTGTTTGTTTTTGTTTTGTTTTTGTTTTGGTTTTGGTGGGGTTTTTTGTTTTGTTTTTTTTGTTGTTTTTTAATTTGGGGGGGGGGGGGGGGT